CATAACAATAACACGATGATTTCTAACGCTTGCATATGAGTTATTTGAATTGTCAACCAATGAAACAAGTATTTGTCATTTAAAAATATTGCTAGAAAGTAAACTCTAAAGTTTTATTGCTGTTTTCTTATGTTGATTTACGGTACTATAATCAGGTTTAGGATGATTATTACTTTCTTTTATCATTGTTGTTCTCTTACAGAAAGAGATTGAGCATGCTATGAAAATAATGTAAACGATTGAAAAATATGTCTATTCTTCACAAAGCAAAAAGAAGAAAAAAATGAATTCTTTCAAGTGTCATGTTCTGCTAATAAACAAATCATTCGCAACTGTATTTTATTAGATGATTTTATAATTATCAGTTTTATTGACTTGATCTTAAAATCTTTGTTTTTTTAATTACTCGAAAATAATTTTCTTCGTCGATTCATGCTGAAAAGCACTCGATATTGATGAGACATTAATCGATAGTTTTTTGTTTTCATGACTAGTAGTATTCCAACTCTACCATATATGTTCTTTTTCTTATGGTTTTGAATTATCGAGCTTCAAATGAGAGCTCAATTGTGTCTTTGCTGCCTCTCTGTATAAATGAAAGTACTTTTCTTAAGATCGAGCCAACTAATTTATAGTTTCTCGGAATGTTTCAATTGAGAATATCGTTCAGAATCAGACGAAAGCTACTACGGGACTTCAGTTACAATTGATGCATTTTTCCACCTTAGACGAAACAAGATTTGCAAGATTATTTTAAATTCTACTTTGTGAATTTCAATCGTCGATAATAACATTATCATATTAGAAATATAGAAATAATGAAAACAGCATGTCGAAAAAAAAATGATTCAGCATTTTTTTCATGTATTCATGATCATAATTAAATGTTTCTAGAGGCGCAAGAAGCCTCTGCCTCATATGGAATGTTCAATTCAGACTCAAATCAGTTGACAATAGAGAATATGGATGAAGAATGACTTCCCACAGAATGTTTTATCCTAAAAAATAACTAACAAGACGTTACTTCAAAATATTCGAGATTGCACAAAAAAATTGGTCTTGGAAAAATGAATTTGCGGATAAATGGTATTTGCTTTGGATCATAATCAGTGGCCTAATTTTACTATTTTTGAAAATATTTTCTTTTGGTATAATCGGTTTGGTATGCTAAATAAAATAGCGAAAAATGAATTCCTTTTTTTCTGTCTTTTTTTATTTGGTCATGTGGACAGATCGATGTCATCATGGGTCACAGACTGGTGGTATAATGAATTGCGAATCAGAGAGTAACTTAAGATCCTCGTTTCGAAAAGAGTTTGAATCCTCTTCGACTTTCTTCAATTTCAGATACAAGGGAACTCCTCATTTTTCTCATACAAGTAGTATTAAATTCTCATCCTAACGAAGCTTTTCAGCGAGTTTCCGATAATAAAGAACGATCGTTTCAGGATTTAATATGCTTAACATCAACGACTCAATGTACACGATTCTGAAGGACTAATGCATCAAATACTCACATACGACGACCAATATAGCAATTATGAATGATAATAAACAGACTAACATGGCGATAGAAGGTGGAGAAAAAGATATCATGTCAACAAATGAGGATGATAATGCAAAAAAATCCAAAACAACATACACACGCATCGAACCAAATAAAGGGAAAGAACACAAGATAAAATGTAGGAAGAAGAGAAGTTATCAAAACGTCAGATTGTAAATCATGGCAGTTCTTCGATATTGACGGCAATATGACTCATGCATGCGCTTCTAATATGCACATCAGAACATCGTCGAAAAATAATCAAATATGGGATTGTGGGTGTGAAACGTTGTTCCTTTGATTCACTCCACAACCGACAACAAAATATGTAAAGAGATAATGTATCTTTTCTTCGCGATAAAAGCATTCAGTAACAATGCATTCATATTTTATAAGTCGGAGTGAAATATGGCAAATTTTATTGTAGGTCTGATGTTGAGATCAACATTCTTGATCACGAGAAGTATATTTTTTGGATATGAATAATTTTCTAGAAATTGTCAAACCTTAGATCAGACGCATTTCTATCTCAGGAAGTTTTTGTTAATAAGTCTAAACGGCATTTTTCTTCTGTCCACTTTGTACGAAGCAAATTTTTCTCGAAATTTGTGCGCACTATCAATCCTTTCATATGGTTACGAGGGAAGGTCTCTAAGTGATGATCCGAGAATTCAGCTGAAACTGATCTAAGAAAAAGTTGTAGTCAAAACATTATTTCACTATTTGATGCATATGTACAACTACATACTTATTCTAGAGTATTGTATTTGTTTCTAGAAATATTGTCTGATGGCAGACATAACAAATACATATACAAGGAGTGAAATTCTTTCCTACTAGTATTATAGTACGACATCGGTCTGTATATGTATTTTGTCTATTCTTTTTCAATTATGCTTACATGCATTCATTCCTACACGCCTTTTCTCTATCTAGTATGGTATGCTTGGTTTTCAACGGACTAGTTATTGAAAGATTTTGGTGCTTTTGAGAATGTGCAGGACGCGTATTTTTCTTTCGGTGAAGATTTTTGTTCTTTGTCCACGTGTAGTGACTATTCCTTTATTTCGTATAGTCATTGTGATCTTGTACTTTGTTTCAATCATTTTTTCATTGACAATCATAAGCATTGAAACTAATGCTTTTGTGTATCACATCAAAAGGATCTATCTTTTATACATATATAGAGTGATGTCATACAATAATGCTGGTAGGAAAAGAATTTCACTCCTTGTATATATATATTTGCTATGTCTGCCATCAGACAATATTTCTAGAAACAAATACAATACTCTAGAAAAAGTATGTAGTTGTACATATGCACCAAATAGTGAAACAATATTTTGACTACAACTTTTTATTGGATCGACTTCAGCCACCGATAATTGTTTTATACTTGACATCAAGATACTTGGTGTAGCAAATCCATGCAGTTTCAGCTGAAATTTTGAGTCATCACTTGGGAACCTTCCCTTGTAAGAACAAATTCTCTTCTCCTTCTCTGTATAGATTTGTATATCATGTATGTGTCAAGCAAAATTAAACACCTTTTTTATAAGCTTTAGAAATGAAACATAACAGAAAATATGATTTTAAAGAATTAATCCATATATTTTTGTTAATTTACATTTAGTTTTAATTGAAATGTGCCTAAATCTACGAAGTTTTAGAGTTTAATACTGTATTCTATTGAAATCGAGTTGGATTTTGAAAGCTGAAAAGTGAAAATAATAAACAAAATTTTTTGTTTCAATATTTAATCAGTTGTTATCTTTGAATGAAGTCATTGATGTTGTTTTACTTTTCTGATAATTTGTTTTTCATACACTTTTTCCTATTAGAAAATTTTAATATTAATCTTTAGTAGTACGTTCTGATTATTCATAATAAGTCCGATAAATGGATTTATATGGACATTATATTTCTTAAAATCATAAAATGAATTTTCATGAATCGTTTTTAATAAATAATTATCTTGAAACATTAAACTTTTCAATTTTATATTATAAAATACATTTTTAGGTATATACTTAAAAGATATATCATATAACAGAGAATTATTAAAATCTTTTTCATTATCATCTATAGAAAAATTAAGATTTAGAAATATTGTTTTTAATGGTATCCATATATATTTAGTATTTGTCATTTTACTGTTGTCTAATTGCACAGTATTGAAAGAATCCATTCTAGATGACTTAGGCCATACCAAAAGTAGTGAGAGTGATACTTTAATACCGTATAGTAGGCTTAAAGAAACTTTCTTCTTATATAGTCTGATAGACGAAAAAAGCTCTATCTTTCTATACTATTTGATTATACTTCAACTAATATTCTAATGATAGAATTTCAATAAGATGTGTTCCGTTATCATATGTGCTGGTTATATTAGTACTCATTTTAGAAAGTACGAGTCAGTATTTTTTGAATAATTGTTGATAAAAATAAGATAGAGAAGCGCGATTTTCGCCTTTGGAAAGAGGCGATGAAGACGCATCGAATTACATATTCCAGGTTTATCCTGATCTGTTTTTTTAAGGTTCTCCATTGATCTTTTTAAGAACAAACTTATCTGGTAAGTTGCCTACAGTGAATTTTCAATTATCAAATATAAATTCGAACCACTACTCATCAAAGATTTACAAAGTGCAGAAGATTGAAATGAACAATATGCATTCCAGTCGAGTCTTTAATATGATTTTGTAGCAAAGTCTGTGGAAAAAGCTCATTTTTGTGCTTTTTACTTTTTTTTCATAAAAAAACTTTTTCCGATTGTTAGAAAATTAAATAGAAATACTTCAGAAATCAATATTAGAAAAACCTACAATACACGATTCGATGCATCTTTATCTCCTCTTTTCAACGATGAAAACTGCACTTCTCCATCTCATTTTTATTAACAGTTATTCAAAAAAACACTCACTAACATTCATAGAACTGTGACACATGCGAACAAAACTGATCGTATTGAAATTCTATCATTAGGATATTAGTTGAAGTATAATCAAATAACATAGAAAGATAGAGCTTTTTTTCTCTATCAGACTGTATAGAAAGAAAGTTTCTCTAAGCCTACAATACTGTATTAAAGTGTCACTTTCACCACTTTTGGTATGCCCTAAGTAAAAGTTGATGAAAAATGGATCAACAGATAGACTGAATAAAACAATATCCTGATAATTAGTAGCAACAGCTATATTGTGTTTCACATTTTAATCTGGCAAGGATTGCGTTAACAGCTTTTTTTTTATTTTATCTACAAATTCAGTTCGACATTAACTGATTTGTAGCCCTTATGTCCTTGAAATAGACGAATACATACTGAAAAATCAAAAATTTCATAGGAAAATTAACCAAAAATAGCACAGACTTTATAACTCATGAAGTTTGTTATAGTTTTCATTATCTAAGATGGTTTCTTTGCAGCAGGATGCTGCTAACATTTTTATTTTTGTTAACAAAAACAAGATAACAACGAAGTATTCTTCATTATTGTTGAACAATCAACAATATGTTTTATCTGTTTTATATCCAGAGAATTTTTCGATGATTTTAAACGTCCTTGATATTTTATTAAAGTCGATATTACATTATCGGCAGTCGATGATGTAATCGTTCTAAATTATAAAACAAATAAACTTTATAGAAAACGAAAAAAAAACAAAAAAGTAAATCCTACGTTTCATTTTTTAATCGACGTATGAATAAAATTAGAAGACAATCAAATTCTAATAATTGTACTTGATTATCAATTGATACTAAACGTAAACCAATATTTTGAATAATCAATGATAATATCATCAAACTTTCACTAGAACTAAAAAAATATTTAATAATTTAAATATCTATTCATTAATTCTAAATGTTTTTTTCCTTTACCAATTTTTAACAATAACTTGTAACCATAGAAGAAATCCATAATCAAATAAAAGTGACATTAATACATCTTGAAGTTTACTTGTAGAATAAAACACATTAAGAATTTCAAGCTAAATAACATAAAACAATGAATAAATAGAAAAAAAGTAAAATAAAACAAACCTTTGTTGAATCATCACATAATGAACAATCATAAAATGTCATTAATGTTTTAAATACATATGCTTTTGTACATAATGTATAATCAATTGAATCTTTTATACCATGTTTTAATAAATTTAATATCCATCCACGTTCATATTTATACTATTAAAAAACATCAAATAAAGATTTGAAGGAAAAAAAAAATACAAACTTCAATTGTTGAACTATGAAAAAGGTCACTAAAAAGTGGAATATGAACAAGATCGATATATGGTTGTTTAAGAAGAAATCTTGTTATTGTTCGATATAGTTTTGACTCTAAATACATATTTAATAAATAAATAAAAAGTCTTTCGAATTGTAGCAAAAATTAATTCCTACCTGGATGAGTAAATAAATCAACTAATTTCGATAGAAATAATGAAACAATTGGTGCTAATTTTAAATTTGGTTTTTTTATACTTTGTTTTAATAATGTTAACATTGTTAATATTTGTTCTTTACAATAAAATCTTTGTGATATTAAATGTTGTTCAAAACGAGCAAGACAATTGTAAACAACAGCTCGTAATAAACCACATCGTGAACCTAATGCCATAAGACAATAAGCAAGACAATGTTTTTCAACAAATTGTTGACATTTTACTACACATTCTAAAATAAATATTCTTGAATGAATTAGAATTTAGTCTTTTAATTTATTCAGAATTGAAATGATAACAGTTTGACTTTTCATGAAACTCAAACTACATACCGTCTGCTATTCAGACAAACATCCTAAGATAGTTAGAGTAGAAGAGACATTGAATTTCCGCTTCATACATAGAGGGGAAAATTCTAAATATAATACAGATGCATTGTATAATTTTGACTTTCCTACAGTTGTTTATTAGACCTACGAGCAATCAAAAACTTAATTAAAAAAGCAGTAAACTTGAGATCTAGATTTCTTCCTTGCACGTTCATTCTCTCTCTATCAGACTCGCAAAGAAAATAATTTGTCGAATCTTAAGAACAGCATAATAAATTTCGATTTACTAATTGATGCCACTTATCATTACTGTTGTAATTAAGGATTAAGTACATCTGGTCTACTTCTTTCATGTGAAAACTTCTTTTTCTCAAACTACATTCGAGTGTTTAGTGGGGGCCTAGAAAGGATTTGTTTCGTTGTATGTATATTTTTATAACTTTTGGTGCTCTCTCTCCGTCTCAAAAAAGCATGTGAAGTTTGAGTTCTAGTATAATTTTAGAATTTATTACTGACTATGCTTAGACATTGCAAGAATTCATTTATTAGAAAGTTCTACTAATTCATCGATTGTCCAAAGTTAGAGGAAGATATGTGCTTATCAAATTATAAAATAAAGTCTCGAATTCTGCATATTCTTTCGACTACAAATCTCAAAAAGTATAAAAATCTACATAAAAGGAAACTAGATGTTAAAAGCTTGAATGTGGTTTGACAAAAAAAAACAAATAATTTTCATGGTTACCAAGCGAGAGGACTATTGAATTTGTAGTTCTGCTAAAGTTTTCAGCTTTTGCATGAAGCAGGTAGACCCGATATATTATCTGACAGGATTCATAACTACTAATGATATGTGACGTCAATTAGTAAATCAAAGCTTCTATCTTGTTTCTGAAGTTCTACAAGTGAATCTAATAGTTTAATTGACTTTTAACAGTTGAATCATGTCAAAAGAAAAACTCGAATATGATATATCCCTCTTTCGAATGCGACAATACTAAAAATTATCCGACTTGAAACAGTTCGCAACGAACTCTAAGATAGAACCCACGGTTGAATAAACTTCTATATCCTCTACCTCCATAAATGAATGTTGAAAAACAATGAATCTTGAGATTTATAGGTTCGATTGATCATAGAATGAATGACATCTGATCATGTTTATTCTCTATAGTTCGATTTTATTATGAATTGTCAGTTCAATGAAGTTTATAATGAATATTTTTCGATCATTTACCTGGACCAAGTGAATGATAAAAAACAGGTATTAAATAAACAGGATCATAAATTTGATCACCTTTTTCATATATTTGGGGTTCAATTGTCTAAAAGAAAAACAAAATTGAATTTTATTTTAAAATTAAAAAAGAAAAATAGAATCTAAACTAACTCGTAATCTTCTTTTTACTGGATAAAATAAAATTGATTTAATCATCATTTTATCATCTAATAAATTCATTATTTGTTCTAATTTTGATGTTTGTAATAAAATATTTTTTGTATCTATTGCTGTACTATATAATTTTAATGCAGCTTCACCCCAAATAAAAGCTGATTTCATTGAATAACCATATTTTTCATATGTATACATACAAGCTAATGTATGTTGATCATTATTTGATAATGTTGGATTATAAATTGATAATAACATTGGAAAATGTTTTGAACAATCAATTGTTATTGAAGATTGATTGAAATCATAATGTGATACAAATAATGAAAGTATATCAACTAATAATGAACGATTAAATGATGAAAGTTGTTCAAGAAAATTTTTATGTTTAAGAAAATTTGCAAATAATTTTGATAAATGTTTTTGATCAAATGATTGTCGAGATACAAAAAATTCAATAAGAGTTTTTAAAAGATTTATTGAATTTGTAGTAAATGTAGTAAAATATTTTAATAGATGATTAATTAAATCATATAAATCAATTTGATATGTTGTTTGAGTTAGAAGACGATTAGCACATTGTTCAAAAGAAATTAACCATTCATCAATATTTCTAAAAAAAAATCTTAGAAATTTTGAAAAGATAATTTTAGGAGTTTGTACTGGAAGAAGGATATGTATTATCGATGTCACAAGACTCGTGATGTAATCGAGTGAGAAACAGCGGAGACTTCAGTCTTGAAGTCTACTGTTTCCCTTTGAATGCTACCAGGATTTTGGCAATGGAGGAAGGGTTAGCATGATCGGATTCTGTTCAGCAATTTTCAAAAATTGATAAATAGGAATTCCCTAAGCGATTGAGCAACTCTCGACGGAGCTATGATAATGTCTAGAGGAAATGAGAATTGGCCATGCGTTCTCTCCGAGTTTTGCCATTCATAAAAGTCAAAGTGGTGGTTTGTCTGCAATAGTTTTTATATCTTTATCACAGTTGGACTAAAATTTTAACCTTTTTTTGCAATATTTTTGGTTATCAACCAATGAGTTGGCACAAAGATCCAAAAATATTATCTAAACGACCACGAAAATGCTTCAAATGCCCAAAACGATGGTACAATTGATCATATCCATCGTATACATGACCAAATATGTGGTTATTTATATCATCAATATGGTTCATTATGCCATCGATATGGTCACTTGCACCATGACTGTGACCTTTTGAACCATCAATATGGCCACTTATATCACAGCTTTGGTCATTTGAATCATGACTGTAGCCTTATGGACTATCAATATGGTCCTTTGTATCATAACCGTGGTCACTTGTATCATGACTATGGTCATCTGTATCATTATTGTGGTCGTTTGTAGCACATGTTGCAGAGGGACAGACAGATGAATTTCCGTTTCCAGACCCTATTCTTTCAGTTTAAGGAAAATATCGTGGATATTGGATTTTTTTTTATTTTGGCACTCATAGAACTGTGAGGAAATTGAGAAGGAATTCGTATTTTTCAGTCCTTGAACAGTTCTAATTTCTGGAGGATTAAGCAAAAGGATAATTAAGAAATATATCTCAAGATAGATAGAATATAATAATCTTTCTGTGATTAGTAACAGTAACTACATCATGTTTTACATTTCAATAACTCATGAATTGCGCTACCTCAATTCGTATGTCATCGGTCAAGCATTTTTGTATATCAAATTTGAATATTCAGCTTGATCATAGAAGGATATGAAAATTGATATTTAATTTATAACTTACTGATTATTTTCATTGGATGATTCAAAAAAGAGTACAGCTTTCTTAACAAGAGTTTTATAAGTTGTTTCTGCTATTAATATAGATTCTGGAAATAATTTTAAGATAAGTAATAATTGATTTGTTTGTTTTATAGGTAAGCCTTGTTGATTATCATCATTTTGAAGTAATTTTAGAATCTTTTCATGTTGATTAAGATTTTTTTGACAATAAATATGAAGTAAATCAAACGTAATAGATTCTGATGAATAATCATCAATAAGTTTCTGAAGATAATCAATAAATATTTCATTTTCAATTGATTCGTCAAGATTTAATAAATCATGAAAAACATAAGCTAGAAGAAGAATTGAATGATCTGATTTATTTATTAATCGTTTAATAGCATAAATACGATCATCTGATCGAAGAGCGGTTATTGTTCTATTAGAAAAAAAAATCCGTTGTTGTATTTTTTTTTATTAAATAAGATAAACAAAAAACGATTTTCCTTACCGAACAATTAATTTTGCAACAATAATTCGTGTTTGTGATTGAGAATAATCTTTATAAGCCAATTTGAAAAGAATTTTTTGTTTTAATCTTAAAATATTTTTCCAATTTTTATTTGATATTTTTTCCATTCTATCAATTAATTCCATAATACATTCAATTCCTTGTTCAATATTATCATCCAATTCTTTTAAACCATCAATAATTGTATCTAAAAATTGTTCATTATTAACTTCTTTATTTATTTTAATTTCATTAATAATAATTTTTAAAATATCAATATTATTCGTAAATGTTTGACAAATAATATTAAGAAATTCTGTACGATATTCTGATGATAAATAATTAGAGGTAAAATAAATAAGACGATAATTATTTGGTTCACATTCAAGACATTTTAATAAAATTTTCGAATGTTGAAGTGATTTTGATGTTTGATGAGACATATCAAGTCCATTAATAAGTTGACAAATTAATGAAATTATTTGACGATTTTCTATTGATGATGAATAAGATTCAATATATTCAATTGTTCGATCAAAAAGAACTTCAAATGAACGATGAGAATCATGAAGAAGAAGAACAATATTTAAACATTGAATCATTTCAGTAATTAATCTTGAATTATCATTTTCCTAAAATTTAATGAAATTATACAAATAGTTGTTAGTACAATTCATGCAGGATTAAAATATGAAACATGATGTAACAGCTATTTAGAGCTCGCCGGATAGGACCCGCTCGGGTCAAGATCCCATTCGATAGTTACTACTTTAAAAGTAAAAGTCAATTATGACAACATTCTTATACGATCACAGTTAAAATGCCTTGAGAAATGTATAGGACGTGCTAGTTGCTAAATCTATATAACCGCAAAAAAGTATATCTCGTATCTTTCGAGCAACTTCACTTTCCATGCTCGTTCAGAATACTTTAAAAGTAATATCTCATGAGATGAATTATTCCAACATCATCTGCAGGTAGGAAACAAGGGCGAATTTGTATCCATATAATTCAATACTTTCTTCAGACCATGAGTTGAAATATTGCATCATTTGGTATTCTCTAAAACGCACGTAGTACTACAAAAGGTTTTTCGTTCGACTCTCCCAAAAGCAGGAAACTATACGAATATAAAACTAAAACATATTTAGAATTATATACAAAATTTTAGAGTTAGACGTTTTATATTCCTTTCGGACTAGTGATACAGCAGTTTTAATATGGATTTTGATTTCGATTGTCTTGTACTCAGTGTAATCGATGAAATAATAAATGCTGTTTCAGTAATAATTGAAGATGATTTATATCGAATATAGGAATGTATAGAAGACATTCTGAGAATTATTTCTTTAAAGTTTATTTCATTTAATCTTTTTAATTTAATGTTCTATAGAATTTTTTGCTCAATTGCTTAACAATGAGCTTATTGATGGATAAAAGTAAATCAATATTCGATCGTGTTGTCATTTAGTGAGGGAAGTTCTCACTTTTCACTATGAAAACTTGAGATCAAAGAAAATGTCTCATTAACAATGAATTTTTTCCTCAGAAAATCGTATTCAATAATCGCATAACCTTCTGATTTAACCTCATATGACACTTTCTTGCTTCTAACAATGAAGTACGAACTACATGAATTTGAATTCATTGTGAGAAAAGTCATTATTCGATTTCAAAAAAAAACATCTGTGATCTGATTTAATCGAGTACACAAGTGTATCATTACTGGAAAGTGCAACATCAAAAGATTATATTAGAATCAGCCTTCGACTATTTGTCTAAATGACTGGAGAAAATACTTCAATATAAATTTTCATTCCTAAAAAAAAGAACTTTTTGTTTTTCTTTACATGTAATGCGAATATTTTGAATATATTTAATTTCATTGCTAAATTTATTTGCATATTATCTGGACCTTTTTCCAAATCAATATTTTCAAGAATTAATTTTTCAATATTATTTATTTCATCCATTAAAACCTAAAGAAAACAAATGAAACAAAAATTAAATTATCGAAATAAATATTTATTTATTCGCTACGGAATGTCCTATTAGCATTAGTATTAAAATCAATCCTAAGTTTTTGATAATATTTAGCATTAGAAATAAATTACACTAAAGTGTTAGCATTAAATTGGAATTTAAAAGAAAGCTACTTTTCTCTGTTCAAGTCTACAAAGTTTTCTAAGATATTTTTCAATATGAAAGGTTTTTCAGAAAACCAAAAGGATTTTGAAAGTCAAGAAATAATGTTAACTACAATCTTTTATATTTTTAGCTAAAAAGTCTGAAAACTACGTCAATTTTAATATAAATATACTAATTAAAGCTATTAGAGCAATTGCTGCAGGATTAACATGTGAAATACGGTATAGCCTCTAGAAATTCAAAAAGGAGATAGTTTCATGTATCAGATCGAGATGTTATTGAAATACAATCTTTGATTGTATATCAATAACATCTGTCACAGCTTGTGGCATGAGGAAGTGAGGAGCACAGTTGTCGATATTTTTTAGGGGGCTAAAAAACTCGGAGGAAAGTGCTTTTATCCTTGGATTGATAGACGTGGTGACGGTGGGTGAGAAGAACGAAACTCACGGTAATCCAACTTCTCCCTGTCCCTCATCCGGAATCTGTCCCAATCTTATTCACCTCGCAACGACATTATTCGCTTACTTTTATGGCTCTTTCTGTTAGAGAAAGTCAACTGGTGTTTTAAAATCCGATTTCCGTTCAAAGTTATTACGAAATTGTAAAAATTTGGCAGAAAGTCGAACATTTTGGGATGGTGGAGTGTGGCCAAGACGTCCACCATGATCTATGATGTTTCAATTGTGACATCTGTGATGGTCTATGGGCAGGGAAGGAGTCAAATTTCAACTCCTATGTATCAACAATCCTTTTAGAATAATTAGGGAGATTCGTCTATTGTGATTTCTAATCCAAAAAAAAAAAATAACAAATCATTAGGATTAATACTCATACTAACGCTAATACAACATTCGTATTATTGACATACTTGATTTTGTTTATCTGGTGATGAAATTACATTAAGTAATTGATAAATCTTCATATGTTTTTTATCTTTTAAATAAATTTTTCGTAAATATTGATGAACTTTATCCAATGGTTGATTTATTTGTTCAATATAGATTTGAAATATAACATGACATAGATATTCATCAATTTCATTTGAAATATCTAAAAATTTTCAATGTTAAATTAATATAATTAATAAATTATATTTAACCTTCTTTAGTATGTTGAATTGTATCAAGAGCTGAATAAATCATTAAACTATACCTTGAAAAAAAAAACAAAAAAAAAAGAAAAATAAAGATTTTTTATTAAATAAATTTTACCCGCTTTGTTTTATTGTTTTTTCAACAAGTGGATATGGATTTAAAATAATTTTCTCAATTATATTTGATAAAAATTGTTCAATTTTTTCATTAATTCCTAATTTTAACCATATATAAATCCATATGATTATTTCTTGATCATGATTATTTAGTATTGAAGAAAATTTACTAATAATCTTAAAATAAACATTCATGAAATAATATTAAATTTAAAACAATATGATTTTTTTTACCAATGAAAGATCTTCCGCAGTTTTATTGAAATTTTTTAATTGTTTTCCTAATTTAAATAACATTCGTACTGGTGTACATTCAAGTTCTTTATTCTAGAAAAAAACAAAAGTCTTAAAAATATTTTTTTTTATTGAATTTTTTTGTTCATACATGTCTTGCCCAAGTAACATCATCGATTGATTCACGATAATTAAGAATATTTTTAATACATTGAAAATAATTTTCAATAATATCTTTTTCTAAAGAAAGATCTTTAAAAAATACTAATAAATTTAATATAGAATTTGATAGAAGTATATCAAGATTTATATTCATAGCTGACATTGACATAAAACATGATGAAGAATATAATTTTAATAAACTTATATATTGACTTATAGATTGATTATAATCAGATGTTGATTTAACAGTTTTTAAAAGATTTAATGAATCACAAAAATGATCAGGTTTTGGAATATACTAAGAAAAAAACAAAAGAAGAAAATTAATTTTAAATATGTGACAATTTTTTCAAAATTTTCAAGGTAAATGCACAAATGTAAAGTAAACTCATATAGCAAAATTCCAAAAAGATTTGCATAGTTATAATCCGGAAATCTTGCATTTGTTATTAGTAAGGTTACGTACTATATTGTTAGTCGTGCAAAACTTCTCAAAGTCTTATGTTTTATGACTGTGTAATTTGGTACGTGTTACCGATGTACTTGACGGAAATGTCTATCGTGACTGAAAATTTGCTGCTGGCGAAATGGTGTTTAAAAAAAGTGTTTCGAATTTCACTACTGTGACTGTTGCTGAAATTTAGTGTTAATTCATGAAATTTTACAATGTCTTTCATAGACAAGTTGCCGCTGTTATGATGGATACGTACTATTATTTTGTCACCGTCTTTATCTTCATCGTTGGCTTGGGTAATTGTATTCCCTCAGAATACACTATTAAAGGTATAGAACAGGTAGTTTGATGTACAGTAGGTTTTTTAAATAGAATTTGTAGTGATTCATGAACTCTTAGTCGATACTTTTTATTATCTTTTGAAATAATTTTCCATCCGTCTCCAGTTAATTTTACGTTTTTTTTCTATTTGATGTTTAAAGAGAGCTGACTTTTTCAATTGTTCTACATTTAAACTTTCGATTATTAGAACACCATGTAGTATTTAGAGGCAATATATCATTGAATTTGGAAGAGAACTAGTATTCATTTCAAAATAGAAGGCAAGTGATTGAGAGTCGAATAACTAGGGAACAGGAGCAGCTAAGGAGCTGCGATTTTCACCAATACAAAGTGGACATCAGAGTACGTAAATCTATGAAAAAATTTCATTGATCAGTAATGAACAAATAGGATGAAAGCCTGCTGAAGATTTTGAAGATCGCTTTTGGGACGCTTTTTTCGTTTGATTTTGAACTTCAATTTAATCATTCGATAGAAAATATTATTCTCTTTCGATCTACATAAGGTCGAGCTCGATAGTTTGCTCCATTCGATAGCTATAAGCATTTTCCTGAGACTCCAGAAATTGGCCAGGTGATGCGGAATCACCCTTAAAACCATTACATTATAGGTAATCAATCACGCTGAATTCAGTGGTGATGTTTGTTTTTCATTTCAAAGTAATCTAAGGTTATTGTACCGAGATTTTCAAAATATGTGTTCTTTAAGCCAAATAGCAGCAAAAACTAGATTTACGAAAACTTTTTTTATAATGATCTCAGGTTACTTTGAAATGAAAAACAAACATTATAACTGAATTCAGCGTGATCGATTATCTATAATGTAATGATTTTAAGGATGATTCTGGATCACCTGGCCAATTTCGAGGGTCTCAGGAAAATGCTTATAGCTATCGAGTTCGACCTTATGTAGATCGAAAGAGAACAATCTTTTCTATCGAATGGTTTAGTTGAAGTTCAAAATTCAACGAAAAAAGCGTTCCAAAAGCTATCTTCAAAATATCCAGCGGGCTTTCTTCCTATTGTTCCATTACTGACCAATAAAAATTTTCCGTAGATTTACGTGCTCCGGTGTTCGCTTTTTAATGGAGAAAATCGTAGCTCCATAGCTGCTTCTGTTCCCGAGTTATCCGACTCGCAATCACTTGCCTTCTATTTTGAAATGGATAATAGCTAAAGAGGTTTATTTTAGTTCTATACGATGCATCATTTATAAAAATGGAAACTTACTCTCAAAATAGCTTGTTGATAAGCTTCAACTACACTAATTTTTTCACAAGCTAATGGAAGATTCATAATCATATTGAAAGCTTCTTGAATTTTTTCTAATACCATCGAAAGAAATTTCATTGATACTAATTGAATTGTTGTATCAGAATTTTTTAAAATGACTTGATCAAATTTATTCATTATATCAATTGGTAATGTTAAATAAATTAATATATCAGTTAATTTTATTGAATCTGTTATTGTTTGAAATATTTCATGCCAAGTATTAAGTGATTTTTGTTGTTGAATTATTTCACAAAGAAATTCTAATGTACCTGAAAGATTTTTTGAACGTATACTAACATATTCATGTGATATTAGTTTAAAAAATCTACAAAAAAAAAATGAAACATTTTTATTTCTATTAAAAAGAAAGAAAATTTCACATACGATTGAAGAAGATCAGGACATGTTGTTAAACAAGTAACAATCAAATTGGCAGCATATTCATCAGTAAGAAAATAATTTGAAAGACTTGATATTACTTTAAAGATTATTGGATTTGAATTTCTTTAAAATAAAAATAAAAATATTAGTTTTTTACTTGAAAATACAAAGTCGATAGGAATGTATCGAGCCTTTTTGAAAGAATAAAGTTAACTCCATCATACTGAATGGACTTTCGACAATAGCTGAAAGTCAAGTCATCAGTTAGGCTTCTAATTTCACCAAAACTGAACTTTTCCTAATGTAACAAAGTTCAGTTTCATTAAGAGCGAAAATTCATCTTGTTGTATAACCCATTTACAACTGTCGAAAGTCAACGTTGTGCATTTTTATATTCGCTCCTGATTAGTGTCTGTTATGGACTTAGAGTTTGCTCACATATAGGATTTAATGAGACTAGTAGAAGCGAATAAATAGTTATGACCGTTTTACTAAATTTTCTATCCAGCTTTTGGGTATTTACCGAAAAATCAAATAACGATATTTTGATCTAAAATTTCGCTCGTGAACAGATTTAGTGATCCTTAGAATATTCTGAAAGTTTCAGGCGAAAAGAATTTTCCTTTGTTCAAATATTAAATTTCCAAAAAGTGATTGTTTGTCACAAAAATCCAGTTAACTTGAAAATTTAATCTCTCAATAACGTAGCATTCTTTTCGACTAAAACTTTCAGAGTATTATACTCATCATTCGACCTGCTCGTGAGGGAAATTTCAGATCGAAATACCACTATTTGGTTTTTCAATAAATATCTAAAGCTAGATCGAAAATTCAATAAAACAGTCATAACTCTAAAAGAATAAGGCGTGGAGACAATCCAAGTGATTTAAATCGAACAAAAACTTTTAGTATAACGCGTACTATACCAACAATCAACTGGCGATAGTTTGATACTTAAACAAGCGACTGTTTTCTAACTGCCTTTCTACAGTAGTATACTGTCGGCACTTATGGGTACCGCAGTTAGACAGCTGCGAGTCCGGGTTCAACCTTTTATTTTTTTTTTGGGCTCGGTTACACGTTTTTGTGGATCCACTGCTCCTAAGATCAGAAATCCAGCAACAAGATATAACTGTACGTTAAATTTTTTTTCTGAGAGTAGCGAATAAATAGCTAAACCTTGATCCTTCGTTTACTCATGTATACGAAAAGTACCAGATATTGATGGAAAAAACCTCGGGTTTCGACCCGCAGCTCCCTAACCGCGGTAGTGAGAACAAACGCTTAATCTAAGAAACTAATGCCCGTTTCAAAAACGAAGACGGCTGGGCATTTTTTTGAATAACTTTTGAACGGATTGACCTAGAGAGCTGCGGTTTTCACGATTGGAAATAGGAGATGAAGACGCATCGAACTATGTATGAAAAGATTTTCCTGACTACTTTTCTAAGAGTTTTATATAAAGCTTCTAGAAAAATAGCACGCCCCGCACAGTCGCATTATTAATTTATTGATTTTCAGGAGTGCGCCAGAACCGCCAAATGAAGAGCCACAAAGCTGCGTAAAGACTCTATTTCTAATTCCTACCAATAAGATATTCTAGTCACTGAACGCAATTTACCACCCCATTTCTTCAACAAAATAATCGAAAAATGGAAGTTTTTGTAGTGTTTTCATGAAAAATCGATTTTTTTTAACGTATACGAAAAAAGCAATTTTTTGAAAACAATTGACTAAAACTCTTAGAAAAGTAGTCAGAAAATTCTTTTCAAATATGGTTCGATGTGTCTTCATCTCCTCTTTCCAATAGTGAAAATCGCAGCTCTCTAACTCAATCCGTTCAAAAGTTATTCAAAAAATAGCCATTCGCCTCCTTTTTTGAAATGGGTATTAGTCTCACGGAATTCTACACATGGACAAATTATAAACTTGATTGGTGTCCGAAGAAGTTTCCTCCGTTAGATAAACTTTCCGTTGCATGGAGTATCAGATAATTTTGTAGTACAATGTTTTCATCCAATCTGCTTGAGCAAAAGTGTATCTTCCCTCAGAAAAGAAAAACTAGATAATGTACTGCTCTATCATTTCGAATAACCTTCTTGAATCTTAATTCTATTTCCTCTAATAGATATGAATACAATTAATTGTTTTAATTTGATTCCTGCTCAAGAAATAAATAATGTTTTGTTCCAATCTCAATAATTCTAATATTTATTATCAGTTTACTTAAGTATCTAAAAAAAACAAAGTATTACTTTGTTGAAGTTCCAAAATTTGTATCAAAAAAATTAATTCCATAATTTTTTGAATTTAATATAATCATCATAAATGTATGATTTATTCGACGAACTTCATTACGATCACTACTTTCTTTGACTTCCATCTAAATTAAATTTTTTGTTTGTTTTTTTTTATATTAAAACTATAAATTTCAATAATTTTTATTACTTCATCAAAATCTAATGATTCATCAAATTTATTTTTCTTTTTTGTTTTAATTATATCTTTTTGTTTTTGTTGACCAGTCCAATTATATAATCGAATAAGTGATTTTAAATTCCGATCATCAAATAAATGAATTTTATCAGTTTTTGTTACACCTGGAACCATAATAATCTAAATTTTATTTATTTAAAAATTATTCTATTTTTTTTTGTTTTCAAAAAATTTTTAGTTTTACATTTGTACGTATTTCACCAAGTATAAATTCAATTGTATGACGAGAATCATTAACAAGTCCATTGAAAATCTCATGAAAAATATCTATATAAAGAGATTACAAAAAGAAAATATACATAACAGATAAAAATACTTGGTTCTTTGATTAAGTTTCTAATTGTATCAATATGTTGATAAATTAATGGAGATAAAAAGAATTTTATTACCCAATAACGAACATCTTCAGAATCCTACGTATAATCAAAAACAATATTTGAAAATTGTAAATTATTTTCAACATACTCGAATATCACGTCGTTTGAATAATGGTTTCCAACATAATCGTTTAAAATCAATTAATGAAAAAATTAATCGAGCACTAAATTCATTTTGTTGAATCATAGATATTAAAAAGCGTAATGTTATTTTTAAATGACCTTAAAAATAAAATTTGAATAAATATGAAAACAATGAATAAAAACATACTTGCTGTACTATGACTTGATAACATGAAATAAATTGTATGAATTGAATTTGATATTGAAACAAATTTTTTTATAATAGTTTCCGATAATATTAAATCATTTTTTCTTGAAAAATATTCCAATAATGTTGTAAGAAAACGATAAAGTGTTATATTCTAAATAATATCGAAAAACAAAACAATTTTATACTGATAAATAAATCTCAAAAAGCAAAATAAGAAACAAAAATTTCAGTGATTAAAGAAGTTCTTTGTCGTTAGAACTCAAACTGGAAGACTTCAAGTATACCAAATCATTCTATTTACATTTTATCAAATTTTTACAAAAATCTACCTGTTTTTTTCTTTTCTAAACTTGACTTACCTCACTTGATTTACGTTTTTCTTCAGTAATAAGTGCAAGTACATCATTTAAATTTGATTTTAAATATTGAAGAAAATTTTCCATCAATTGATCAATTTCTTCTTGTGATGATAAATGACGTACATGTTCATTAAATTCACTTAAAGCTAATAAAACAACAAAGATTTTTTTGTTTTTTGTTCTAAATTAATAATTATTAAAAAAATTGTATGTTTACCTAAAAAACTACTTTCTGGATCTTTTAAATTTTTAATAAATATTTCAATTGGAAATATTTGATCTAATTTATTTTTTTTCTCTGGTTCATCAATATTTTCTTCTATTTTACGTTTAATACCCATCTAAAAATTTCAATAAAAAAATTTAAGAAAATAAAAATAATTAATTATAACGTACTGATGTAGAAAGTTTTCTAACTCACTTATCTTATTCTACTCATTTAGATCTTGAACAATCTTATGCTTTTCCTTTAGTGAAAGCGTTTCAATTCATATTGGAATCAGCTATTGATTCGGACGAATTATTCAATCATTCAAGAATAAAAAATCTGCAAGTTATCGGAGTTTATTTAAACTTTGGTACTTCTCTTTTAATAAAACGGGCTATATGGTAATGCATTAATTCTTAGAAATGAATCACACAAAATATTTCACGCCTTTTGAGCTCATGTTGCGATATAAAAAGTCAAGGTCTTGTCGAGAAATTCGATATGTCAACCAATCCGTACAATATGATAATACTCTTTTAGACTTTTCCTGATCGACAAGTTTCCTACTTATGTTCAAAATATAGAGCTAAAAGTCTCAAGTCACTTCGAACTATTTTTTCTTGAACTGAAATCTATGCTTCTTAAGAAGTGTACCGATCTGGAAGAACCATCTCGATATGGATATAAGAATTTATATTAAAAAATACAAGCAACTACATTTTCATTATGAATTTGATAAAAATGTTAAATTATAAATTGACCATTTTTCTAATACTAAATTAAAACAGATTAACATTCACTATTGGACAAATTTTTCAACGAATAGAAGACCAAAAAAGTCGACATTGAAATGAAATGCATTAGTCACTTAACTGAAGGAAAATAAAATATCTGTTGATGAGAAAAACGATTTCATTTTAACGAAAAGTTGAGTTTTACGCAAAGGATGGCGCTACACTACAGTAACAGTTTAATCATGGTACAACCAATTTTGCTTGAGACTAATGTATATACATAATTTTACTAAAATCAACTACCGAATTGTATCTTATCGAAAGAATTTCCTGTATTCAGCCACATCCAAAAACAAAATGTTCATTTAAAAGATAGTTTTCTTCATATAGAGTTGTCATCATATCCGATAATGAAGACAAAACAGTCGAATGCAAAATGGTACATTATTGATATGCTAACCATGAGATTAAATTCTGAATTTTTTTATCATTAGCAGAGAAACCATGCCGTTTCACATCAGAAATAGTCAACAAATATGTATTAGTTGTCGTTGGATGGTTAATGCCAGAATGATTTTCACTTATACAAATAAACATAGCAGAGTGCCTTCATTTTCGTAGCTATTTCTAGTTTATTTCGAAAATTTGTTATTTTACATAAATAATGTTAAACAACATAAAGTAATACTGTGTATCACATATCTAATACCGAATTATCGTATATGTACAGAGAAGCAACTACTATTCGAATTCAGCGAAGAGACAAGTTCATAATATTTCGGTGCTTCTATCAATCCATTAATATTTATAAATACGAGAGTAACAACAACAACAACAATGATTTCTCATATGATACAAAATCAAAAGAATTTTCTAATGGAACTTAAGTTGCATCAAATGAAAACTTCTATCTCAATAACTTATGATATGCTGTGATTGGCATGTGCGTTATCAACCGGCTGTAATGCCTTGTTTGTCATATGAAAATTGATGCTAAGCAATAACATCCCACTTGGCATTGACACAACAGTGGGTGTTCTGCAGACAGAAAACAGATCTACTGTTCTTTATCGAATTTTGTTTTCAAAACAAAATAATCTTTAATATGAAAAGTAAATATGTTTATGACACAGCGAATATATATAGAGAAAAAATATTTTATCATAAAAGGATTATAATAAAAAAAAATGACTTAATAGAAGAAGATTATAACAATGTCATTAGACACATAATGAACAAATATACGAAACAATTTATCGTATCATATGAATCAATAATAAAGAGAAATACGAAACCAGTCGTAAATAATTATTCTACTTAATTTCTTTGATGCTTTTACGTTTTTAACTTTTTCGGAAATGACTAAAACTAAATTTATAACATAACCGAGTGAGGCTTTGGAAAAATCTGTATCAATAAAGTGAGAAGATAAAAAATTGACATTGACTAATTCAGTTGATGAAAAGTTGATATAGCTAAGAGTCGCCAAGGAAAACTTAACTTTGACACGATGACTCGATGACATATCAATTTTCTGCGAATTAGCACTGAAGAGACCAATCAACGAGAAATTTGCATTAATGAATCGAACTTTTGAAAAATAAACATTGGCGAATGTTGTAAATTGAAATTTCACATGTGAAAAAGTAGCTAATGAAAAGTCGATATTGTTAAGTCAAGTATGTGAAAAATTAACATCATTAAATGTTAGAAAAAGTAGAACTTTGTAGAATAATATTGATCAATGAAAAATCTTTCTAATTTAATTGTATCTATTATAATTGTTGGAAGCATTAATACCAAATAGTATTGTTCCTGAGATATCGAGAGTATTCATTGTGGTTAATTGTTGAGATTTATAGAAAGAAAAGTAAAATATTTGTATTTCATAATCTATTCAACTGACGAACAACATTCAATGTTAATGAATCATTATTTTAGTTTAGTAATTTGCCTATTTCTTTGATACAGACGACCAATAATTTGTTTCGATATTGTGTTGGTCAATCATACATTATTAACTTTCATATTGTCGATTTTCCATTTCAAGTTTTAACGTTCATGTTGTCTTGTAACTTCTTTTTGTTGATAGATAGTTTTTATTATAGTAAAAATAGTTAAGACAAGAGAAAGAATAAGTAATGAAATCAATTTCAAAGTATCTTTCATTGTTAATCCATAGAATTCAAAAATCCCGACGTTGATATTTATTGATTTATGTTGCTCGATTTTGAAAATTTATCTTCAAACGCAGTTTTTCACATTCTGTAGGTATAAGTTTATAAAACACCTCTGTTGTTGTCATACGTCCAACAGAATGTGAATCGGAGATTTAATTATTGACATCAGTTTTCTAACAAATGGAGTGCAATTGAGAATGATGAGTTTGAAACAGCATAGATTCGAATCAGCTTAGTTCGATGTAAACCTATCAAATGCAAAGAACTTGATCGAATAAGAATAATATGTGAAGCTGAAATTATGAAGATAAAACTTGAATAGAGGAAACAGTAAGATAATCTCTTTCAAAAAACTATACTATTGTTTTCAATTTATTTTAAGTTGCAACATCAGTTGTGCTATTGGCTCTCTCGTTCTAACTCTGCTGAACACACGGCATCAAGATAAAAAAGAACAACAAAGCCATTGAAAACAGGAAATACTATGCTAGTGATTTTCTATTCTGAATGTTTGAATGATGACATCTACTTATTGAGATATTCGCATCGATTTTAGTATGAGTTATACATGTTTGTGTGTCAATGAAGTGACATTACTTCTAGACGGTCACATTGCATTTTTTCATTCAAATTGAAGAAGTATACAATTTATAAAATAGAGAAAATGCATGTCTTTTTTTTTTCCTAATTAATAACAGGAAAAACTATTTTTCTTATCTTTTCTGTTTGCAATATGTTCCATGCGACAGTTGTCGATGTAGGCATACATGAGCAACAATAAATTCTTCAGTATTATTTTTCTTTTTTCGTATTTAGTTTCTCTTCTGTAAGTTCTTCGGAATCTAGGGATAAATCCATGGAAAAACTACAATTGTTTTTTCTGTTAGGAATACTGAACATTATTGAAAAATAGTAGAACAAAATGAAGTTACTCATTTTTATTTAAAACTATGTACAAGTGTTCTTGTTCTGAAAAAGAAAATTAATTTGAATAAGACACAGTAGTCTTCTTATTTGCCCTTTTTTCATTTTCATTTTTTTTTTGCGATCACATACTTAAAAGCTTCGATGATTTGAACTAAACTTATCATAGAAATGCCGTCTGAAAAGAACTGGAAAAATCAGAATCAACAAAGTCTTCTATGAACGCTGAAAAGTGACAGTCAACTGTCCATACACTGTAATCTTACCTGCTCGTATTGTTTTTTTTTTTTGGCAAAAAATTAAAGTCATAGCCTGAATATTGGATCACCATTTGTTGTAATGTACTCAGTAGTTACATTTATTCATGCAAATAAACAATAATTTAAAAGAAAAAGACAATTAGAAGAGTCTTATCGTTATAGAAATAATCTTAAAACAAGTTCTATTCAATAGGCTTTTTTTGTCTTTTGAAATATGTATATATATATATCTATAACTGTATAAAAATACATCCTGATAAATTATATGTACAATTCCGAATGTTTATGTTTCTTTTCGTAAACACTATGAAAAGAAACACTTATAAATACTGAATTCTGTTATAGCTAATGTGTTTTTCCTTGACAATAAGCTTCCAGAAATGTATATGCAGATACAGCTATGCTAACTCTCTGAATCAATATGAATTAAATAACAAATAAGATTTATTATGCATTATAGGAAAAAAAAAGAAAAGAATAAAACTTTTAAAATAAATTCGAAATACTCTTTTTAGTTATATAAATCTAACTCTATTTTCAAGATAAATATTTTATTTTATATTTATCTTCTTGCTTGTTCGTTTCTATCTTAGCTTGATATTATTAATCTATAAGTGTCAACAGATATATATTGGTATTAAATAAAGATTTTCATCTATTCCATTATATTATTTTCTGACAATTTAAAGATAAATTATTGTTGCTCAACATTCTTATTAACATTAGAATCAATATAAAATAGTTATTGAAATTTTATAAAAGTAAAATTTTATTTCTTATGATTAAAATAAAGACAAAACTAGTTGAACGATGTATCCACACATATTCATGCATATTCTCAGGAGGGTTATACAAGAAAAATAGGATACAATATTAGGGCATAATGTGATGATGAACAACATTATTGAGCTAAACAGACAAAATGACTTATATTAATAAAAATATGTATAGATTCTTATTCTATATGCACATGCAAATATCATCCGGTCTCTATTTTATATAAGGGCGGGTGATATTAAGGATAAAGCAGATGATTTAGTATAAGAAGAATTAATTTAATAATGTTGTTGCTTAAGCTGTTGCAGTATTAGTAGTATCAGAAGATTTTACTTCAGATGAGGGTACGCTTTGATCAACGGTTTCATTGCTTGTTTGCGATTGTTCTTGTTGAGGAGCTTGTGCTGAAGGTGCCGATTGCTGTTGAGGAGCTTCTGTTGCAGGTGCCGGTTGTTGTTGAGGGGTTTCTGCTGTGGGTGCTGGTTGTTGTTGGGAAGCTTGTGCTGCAGGTGCTGATTGTTGTTGAGGAGCTTGTGTTGCAGGTGCTGGTTGTTGTTGAGGGACTTGCGGTGCAGGTTGTTGTTGTGGTTGAGAAAAAACTTGCGTTACAGGTGCTGGTTGTTGTTGAGTAAGAACTTGTGCGATATATGCTTGCTGTTGTTGAGGAGGACCTTGTTGGGTAAATGTTTGTTGTTGTTGTTGTTGTTGTTGTTGTTGTCGAGGTATATCTTCTCCAAGGATTGTTCGTGAAATGCTTTGAACTTGTTGTGTATACGGTTCACTATATACTGCTTGTTTTGCTTGATTCATATATTGATTACGTAATGATGATAAATTACTTCCACCATTAGTCATAGCTGTTGATTGCTGTTGTTGTTGTTGTTGTTGTTGTCGTTGTATAACTTGTGTTTGATTAAAATCATCGGAAGCTGATCCTAGTTTAAATCGATCACGTAATGCACCAAAATCAGTTGGACTATGTTGTATATGTGCTGGAGCAGCTGCTTGTTGAATATTTGTAAATGGATTTCCACCTTGTTGTTGCATTTGCATTTGATAATATTCAACACTATTAACAGGTGGTTCATGTGGTTTAGGTAATGCTGAATATGTCATTGTACGTGTTGTTGATGTACGAGTTGTTGTTTGACGTGGACCAACATTTGATGTATGAGTTGTTGTTTGACGTGGACCAACATATGATGTATGAGTTGTTGTTTGACGTGGACCAATATTTGATGTATGAGTTGAACTTGAATAATGTCGAGATGATGCTGATGTTGATTTTGATCTTGGATGATATTGTTGAACGGATGTTGGTCCAACAAATTTACTCATAAGACTCTAAAGATAAATTTTTTTTCTTTTTGAAATGAAATGATATTTGATTTTAATACATACTCGAATTCCAACCGGATGAGAAATTTGTTCTTGTTGTTGTTGTTGTTGTTGTTGTTGTTGTTGTTGTTGTTGTCGTTGTTGTTGTTGTTGTTGTGGTGCTCGTTGTGCAGCCATTTGACGTTGAGCTGCATAATAACCTTAATAGATAAATATGTAAATATTAAAATAAAAAATTTATTAAAGAATTTGAAAATAAAATAAAATACTTTGTTCATCTTCACGTTGCCGTTCCGATTCTGACCGAACACGTATTTGTTGATAATGTTGTCCTCCATCGAAACCACCTGTTGAACGATGTTGTTCTTGATGATAAGTAGGTGATGGAGATACTTGTTGAGCAGTAACTTGATGTTGCTGCTCATGATGAGAAATTTGTTCTTGTTGTCTTTGAATTTGTTGCTGACGCAATAATTGTTGATGTTGTTCTTGAAATGAAGAAGAAAAAGAAAAAAAAAAGAAAAGAAGGTTATACACATGCTATCATCTGTCAAGATTAATTTTACTATATGAACACGAGGTCAAACAGAAAATTTAATTATGATAAATCGATGAAAAGAAAATAACGACATACCCGGTGTCAATTGGCTATAGTATTGTTGTAAATGATCTTGATGTCGTTGAGGAGAAACAGACTGAGATAGTTGAGGAGAACCAGTTGATACAGATCGAACTGATACTCGTTGTGCCTATTTAGTATTTGTTGTTTCTTTATTAATTTTTATAATAATAAATAATTTTAATACCTGTACATGATGATCAAGATCTTGAGATGAACCTTCAGTCCATAAATCAACATTATGATGTGTATATTGAGCAGCACCTGGTGTTTGATAAACTACTGCAGGACCTGTTGGATGTCCTGCTTGTTGACGAGTATCAAATTGAAAATGATGTTGTTGAGGTGCAACTTGTATTGGTTGTGGTGAACGTTGTAAGCGATATAGATCTTGATTATTAACTGCTCGTGCAGTAGCCCGAATTTGAGGTGTTGATAATTGCGATGTTTGATATTGGTGTTGAGTTACATCTTTATTAAATCCACCAACTGATTGATATTGTTGAGATGTATTATGTAAATCATCATAACGAATTTGTTGATTTGATGAACTTGAAATACCAATAGGATATACTGTATAGGTTCCTACAGGCGACGATAAATTTCGATGTGATTGTGAAGTAGTAGCTTTACTAGTATCAAAATAATATTGACCGCCACTACTTGCATTTTCAATGTAATGTGTGGCCATTTTATTTTAACAGAATATTTATTAGAAAAAAGATAAATAGACCAACTGAAGAGGCGACAACCAAACAATAGATATAGATTTAGTAGTAACGAACTAAACAGAGAAGTTGTTCGAGCTCTCTTATCAATATACTATTTTTTGCTCTATCTTTCTCTCTCTCTCTCTCTCTCTCTCTCGTTAGTATGATTTTCTCCTTCTGCTTTTATCTTTATGTGCGCACACAGAAGAAGAATAATCCGGAAGAATGTTGACCAAAAAGTATATAAGTTATATGTATTTCTTTTTTTTCCCACATGTGGATATTTTTTTCTTACCATCGATGCAGAAAAGAAAGAAAACGCACGTACATGTATAGACGGAATCCAATCATCGTTACCATTGGGAAGGAAAATATGGAGCAAAAACATCCTCAAAGACAAATACTAGTTTTGCGTACTCGTCCACAGATATCTTTTGCTTATGTATTACTAACAGAAATGGCATATACAACGAAAGAGAGGGAGGGAGAAAAGAAGCGTATTGTTGATTTATTAGCAAGAGTGTCCCCAAACTATCGGGACTTATAACTTCTCTAGTTAGTCCTGTGGTTAAGATTTGTAAACACGTAATGTTCGTTTTATAGTTTCACGACAAATAGGACATCTTGTTAATAATTTAGCACAATTAAGACATGATACAATATGACCACATTCAATAAATGCACAATTAGCTTCAGCATCTAAACACACTTTGCAAGCATCTTCAGAATTTGAAGCAGACGATGATTCTAAAGGAGCATTCGATAATATAGATCGAACAGTTAGTCCTGTTTCATCATGTGACATAGACGATGATTCTAAAAGGAAATGAAAAAAAAAAACATTATTTTTAATGCCATTGTTTTTTTATATAAACAAGAAAAAAAAACGGAAGAAAAATTCATTTACTTAAATATTCTTCATCAAATGCTCGATCTGTTTCATACGTTTTTTGATTTGTTTCTGTTTTTGATGAAATTTGTTGTTGATTTACTTTAAGATATTGATATTTTTTAATCAGATCTTCCATGGATAAATGTTTCGCCATTGATTTAATTTTAAAAAATATTTTCTTTTGTCGTTATATATATATATATTTTTTTTTTTGACAATTTCGTTTGTATATATGTTTGTCGTGTAATAAAAATAAGATTACAATGTGAATTTTTCGTTGACTTTTTATATTCCTGTAGTTATTCTTTTTTTTGCATCAAGCAACGCACGACTCAAAACAAAAAAAAACAAGTCTGATAAAGTTGCTTATTACATCATCAAAAGAACCAACAAAAAAAAAAAAAAGAAAACTTTAAAAGCTCATGGGCAAGGATGACAAAAGAAAAGTATTCTTTTTTCTGTGATGCAACGAAAAAAAAAATGTAAACGATTATTTTAGATATATTGATTTACATGTTTATTCTGAGACATATGAACAGCACCAAAGAAAAAAAGAGAATTTTTTTTTTGACTTTCTCTTTCATCTTCTGACAGAAACAATCTTTCATTTACGGACATGTTAATGCTCGAAATGTAACTGTGCACATTGCTTCACAACTATTCAAACATTTCTTAACCTATTGCAAGTTTGTTTTCATTGTTATTTATTATATTAAAAAAGAAAAGAAAAAGAAAAGAATTATTGCAATGCGACGAAGTTGTATTGATCGAATATTTCTTATTCTTAGTATTTCATTAATATTCTATATTGGATGGTTTATATTCAATAGTATTTCTCGAATTTCACGTGATCCAGATGAAGAAATTGCTTATTTACATGCTATTAGTGGATCATCACCAATGATACATAATATTCAATTATGTTCTTCCAATGAAATTGATCTTATTATTATTATTATTTCATCAGGTTCACAGTTTCTTGAAAGACAAGCAATTCGTGAAACATGGGGATCAATGTCACATATAATGAATGTACATTCTCAACGTTTATTCGTTGTTGGTTATCATTATGGTAGTGGTCTTTATAAAGATTTATTATATGAAGCACAAAATGAACAAGATTTACTTTATTTAACGGTTAATGATGATTCAATAACACTTAAAGAATTATATGCATATCGTTGGTTAGATAAATATTGTCCAAATGTAAAATTTACATTTAAAACAGACGATGACCTTTTTATTAATTCTTTTCTTTTACATGAAATTATTCGAGAACTTAAAACAAATCCAGATCAATTTCAAAATCGATATTTATATAATAGTTCATTAGATTCACTTTTTCTTGCTCATCTTAATCCTGATGCACACACATTTCTTTTTGGTTGGGCATTTCAACCAGGTAAACCAGAACGAAATGCTAGTATGGTACCTTATTATGTTAGTTATAAAGAATATTCCAAAGATTTATATCCACGTTATTGTTCGAGTTTGTATTTATACTATTTGATTAAATTTAAAAAAATTTTTATTGATTTTTTATTTTTTTTATTTTAGGTTTCGGTTATTTAATGGATTCTAAAACACGAAGTTTACTTGTTGATGAAGGTTTTAAAGATAAATATCCATTTCGTTTTTCGGATATATTTATAACAGGAATTTTACCTGAACGACTTAATTTTATTTGTGATGCTCTTCCATTTACTTATCATCAAGGTACTGCAGAACAATGTATAGATATTATAAAACAACATAATAAAAAAACTCTACAATTATCAACACCTCCACTTATTGTTTGTTCAACTGGTCGCCATGTAGCACAGAATACATTTTCAGATTATTATAGAATTTGGACTGTTCTTAAATTTGTTTTTGGTAATCGAATACATACTACACAAAGTAGAAAATCAAAGAACTAATTATATATATATATATATTTTTTTTTGTTTTTCATTTACTCAATTTTTATTCATATTTATATTTAGTTTTTCTTTGAGATTGCACCGAGATGAAAAAAAACAACAATAATGACGTTTTGTCATATCTATCTATTAACACATGTGTTACTAACAATGGAGGTACTTGTATTGTAACTGAGCTAGACTTGACATTTTAGCATCAAATGAAAGCTCTCACTGCCAAACTAACAAGGTTAAAATATTAGCGGCCCTTGATTTACCTAGAGGGAGATATTCAATTTCTACGGTACTGATGATTGAGTATATAGGAACCTTAGAATTATTTACATTATTTTTTTATGCAATTAACTGAGTGTTTCAACAGTAGACTTCGAGAATCTTTCTGAGATTTATCTATAGTATTAAGATCATGTTGGTTTTAATCTCTTCTAAAAATTAAATAGTATTGAAATGAAAAGTTATGCGATATATTTAAAAAATGACTTATGCATATAATATTTGAATTTGAAGTGCATTGATGCATCACTTGGTGGTCTATTGACCGTTCCTTTGCAATTGATGGTAAGAGATCATAAAGAAATTATTATCCAAGAATTATTCTCGTTCACTCTTTGCTGTATCTACCAAGTAGCGCGCTTTATTCCTTTAAAGTAGAACATGAATTTATTGAACATCGCTAAACATCTTCTTGATTTGGCTCAAACTGAATTTGGATATGAAAATTCTGCAATGACTACTGGTGAAATTTTTATTGCAGAACGATTATTCGAAGTTTTGAAGTCATTTAAAGATAGCTACTTTAGTGAGCTGTACACTTATGATTCTCTCGCATTTGAAGATGAATATGGTGTAAAACCGATGTGATCTTAATACTATAGATAAATCTCAGAAAGATTCTCGAAGTCTACTATTGAAACACTCAGTTAGTTGCATAAAAAATTAATGTAAATAATTCTAAGGTTCCTATATACTCAATCATCAGTACCGTAAAAATTGAATATCTCCCTCTAGGTAAATCAAGGGCCACTAATATTTAAACCTTGTTAGTTTGGCAGTGAGAGCGTTCATTTGATGCTAAAATGTCAAGTCTAGCTCGGTTACAATACAAGTACCTCCATTGTTAGTTATATAGCTTGTTGTTAAGATATTATTCTTTTTCTTACACAATATTCAACATATATTCCTCATGTTCAAACTGCGCCATGTGATTGTGCTAAACAATATGTTTATTGTTGAAGATTAGACTATTCATTTACAAATACTCAGACACTTTTGTGGTAATAATATTCGATTATCTAATGTTTGTATTTTCATTTATGGGCAAAATCAGGTCAAAAAGGACATATTTATCTTTCATTTGGCTGTGATTTTTTACAAATATATTCCTTCCGAACAATTTCTGTTAGCATAGACATATGTAAAAATGTTGGTACTTGTGGCTGCTACTTAATTATAATTAATTAAGAAGTAATTCATGTATTCGTGTAATGGATTCAGTAAGATTGAATATTTATTGTTAGTGTGCAAATCAACAAAACATTATTTGCGTATTAACTGTTTTATGATTCTTACTATTTGAAGTCGTACGAATAATTAGTCAAAATGGGTAGCAAATATAAATCAAAAATATCTGATTTTAATACTATCTTTAATAAAAGTTTAATTGAAAAAATCTTCATTCAAAGCAAACATAAAATTGTATTGTTTGTCTAGTCTATTTGAGTTCAAAACGAGACAACAATAGAAATAAAATATCTCCAATCAATGGTCATTTAGTCATCAGCTGGAACGATTGCGAAAGAAAAAAGAATGATAGAAGAGAAGAGAAATATAAAAAAAACAGTCGGATATGAAACAGCAGTCAGCAATATTTTTTTCTTTTAGACCAAATTAATTATTGTCAACAGTTCATTAGGCATATTTGTAGAGAATATAGTTAGCGATGAACGAACGAGCGGTGAACATACGTTCATTTTGAGTATATACAATATAAAGAACATATTTTAATGATGACGACCACTCTTGAGTCTTTACCAAACGAACTTTGGTTATTGTTTATGCGTTTTCTTGCGTCCATCGATTTGTATCGAGCACTAGCGCGTCTCAATTATCGTATTAATTATTTACTTACTGCTGTGATTCCTCATCCAATACTTGATACATCTGAATG